TGATCTAAAAATTTAAGTTATTAGGTGAGATTAACACCCAATCCATTTATACTTATTACATTTTTCATTCAAATCTAATATGGAATAAGTTCCACTTGTAACAACTATTCAGCACATCTCTAATGCGGATATTATTTAAGCAAGGGAGAACATGCATGAAAAATCTTACCCTTTTTCGTTGTCTCTTCTCATCATTTTCTTTGAATCAAACGTAGCCTTAATCATAGGAGCGAAGGAGTCGAGGAGTGAACCATTTTCAATTTCCATATAATCTCCGAGACGCAAGTTCTCATTTCTCGTTCACTTTACATGCATCCTCTAACAAAAATGTAGGACTCATAATGAACCAGGCCAACTAATAAAAAAATACATGTAAAGTAATTGTTTCATACTAATGATGTGGTGCACTATCATTGGTATATTTGTGTTATAAGTCGGGTGTCAGATACTTAACAATTAATTCATGATATAAGGATCAGGTTTTGAGAAATTATTAGATATTTCTTATCGATACTTAGTGGACTAGTTAAATTCAGACTCTTGAATTAAGAAAATATCCCTACAAAATGTATTAATATATTGCAAAGAATCTCAACATAAACTTTCATTATATTAGTTCACCACATGTCAAATGGATTAGGACCATCTAATAATTTCTTCCCTAATCTCATAATGCATGACCCATATAAGTAAATAGAAATGAAAACCACGTGTTTTAAAAAATGGCTTGATTCAAATAAAAAGCTTTCTAATTCTCTTATTAATTTATGTTTTGTTTCCAAAGTTCTAAAAACTGCTTTTTTGACAATTTGACATAATTGTGAAACAGCTACGAGAGTAGTTATGCAAACAAATTGCATTCTCATCTGAACTTTTAAAGTTTTTCTTCTTTCAAGAAAACTGCTTTTTGTAATGTTCAAAAATTTTGTCCACTAGTTCTCAATAACGAATATAAAGAAATACTTTCCGGGAAAGAAGAAAAACTTTTGAAAATTGAGATGAGAATGCAATTTGTTTTCATAACTACTCTCGTAGTTGATTCACACAGTGTGTGTTTATTATTATGATGTCAAAATTTGCATTCTCATTTGTTTGCTAAATAATGGTCAAATTTTTAATGGACTAGTTGGTTTTGAGCTGTTGGACTGTCAGTCATTTTAATGGATTTGAATATTGGGCTTGGTATCATAAAATGTGTCCATTTTCTGTTTGGGCCATCAATTTGCCCATAATGAATGTAATGTCTAAAATTATAAGCAATATATTGGAATAACAACCACCAAATTGGATCTTAATAATCAGTTCAAACTTAAGTCACACGACACACAACGAGAGTATTAGAGTCTAAAATAAATTATATTTAATTATTTTATATTAAATAGGATTATATTTTTGTGATTTTTTAGTTATTTATATAGGTCAATATTTTTGTCTATAATTTCTTTAAACCATTCATCAGATACAACCATCTTGTATGACAATTAATTTTGCACATAGCATAGCACACCTAGCTCAAGGCAAGCTTGGGAAGGCACCAATATGCCTTTGGCACGGACATTGGACTGCGCATCACTCAATGGTGGCAGCAAGCGACAACAGTTCGCATAATTATTCTAGAATAACCAACTCTCCACATTGTCACTACTCACAACTTCTTCGAAAGTAGTGGTAATGTCAGGAGTCGACAAGAATACAATTTTTCTTGAACAGATTTTTTCACAACTCCTCCGACGGATCCACCAAAATGGTTGTAAGTAGTGGCAATGTAGGGAGTAAGAATACAAATTTTCTTGCACAAACAAGACTTTTTCACAACTCCTTCGATGAGTCCACCAATCATGTGAGGCCTGTAAGATGGTTGTAAATAGTAAACGAAAGAAAGAATAAACTGATTGTGTACATAACAATCGATTATTAGAAGGGTAAAATGTCACTTCCCTTCATTTTATTGAAATTGTATTGCAACTTTAAATTCAAAGAATCAGCTTAGATTCCAAAACTGAATTTAAAATTTTGAAGGAAAAATTCAGATAATTGGATATCTTCATATTCATATACAATTCCCATTTGTGAAACTAAAAACTTTTTACCCACAAGTTATGTGCTATGGGTATTGTGGCCTATTGGGTACAACTACAACCTCACCCACTTCTATTTTTCTTTCCATTTCTTTTGGTATCTCCGTCCCAAACATAGTCCAATGCCACTTCATTGCCTTCATAAACCCACCATTCTCTCTGAAACTATCTGATTCATCTGAACCTCAAAAAATGGCGGTCTCATTTCAATTTACCTCAAATCTCAGAAGACCCACTCTCCACCACCCTCTCCACATCTCAAACGGCCTCTGCAACCCCAAACCCACCATCACCGCCACCACCGAAACCCCCAAAACCTCTATTTCCCGTTTCTCCAAGACGAACCCAAAATGGGTTCCCATGTACTCGTCAAAGCCCTCAAAATCGTGACAATGCATTGCCCGATATAGTCCCCATCGTCGCCGGGCGAAGTTCGAGGAGGAGTGATCAGAATTGTAAAGGTAATTTATATACTCCAGTTAATGAAAGTTAGTCAATTACTCTAAAATAAAAATAAAAAAATAAAAAAAAAAAAAAGAAGAAGAAGAAGAAGAAGAAAAAGAAAAAAAGCTAAATTTCCAAATCCCACATCGATTAAATAGTACTGGAATTTTAAATTAATAATATGCAGTATTGCCCTACAATATAGCCGAGTCCAGTAACGTGGCCTTGTGACCAAGTGAGGCATTAAAGTGGTTGAATGTGTTTGCATTCTTTCAAGCCAGGGATGCACCCTTCTCCCACTTCCTCACCAAAGTGGTGCGCACCCAACCCACCATGGGTTTGGTAACAATCAACTCTCAATGAAAATTGTGTTGAAATTGGGGTACCCTACCATCAGCTAGTCTGACCCTGACCTCAACACACGACCTCTTTTTAGTTCGTGTCTGGATTCTCTCTCTTATGATGATTTCTTGAAAATTCAACAAACTTGCTTACAATTTTATTTTATTTTTTCTTATTATTTTTGTGTGTGTGTGAAAGGTGAGCTATTGGTTACATTTGTTCTTGAAAAATAAACTTTACATTTGGAACCACTCTAGATATTTGTTGCAAAAAGATTAAGATTGATGATTTCTTCAAAATTCAACAAACTATGGTGGATAAACTATTGCTTACAATTTTTTATTTATTAGGAATATTATTTTTAATATATATATATATATATATATATATATCTTAGTTGGTACTCACACACACATGTTTTCACCAAAGTTCGAACCTCTAACCCCCTTTGGGAGATAAGATCTTAGTATCGCTAGATCATTGGTCAGTAGCGTGGACTTTTGATCAATCAGGGCATTAAAGTGGTTGGATTGGATGTGTTATTACCAACAATAAAATGGTGCGCACCCAACCCACCATGGGTTTGGCAACTATAAAATTAAGCCACCTTGGGTTTTGGTAGCTATAAAAACAAGCCACCATGCGTTTGTGGGTACCACGGGGTTTGTGGTAGCTCGCCCTATGAATTTAAAGAAATACTTTTCGGGAAAGAAGAAAAACTTTTGAAAATTGAGATGAGAATGCAATTTGCTCTCATAACTACTATCGAAGTTGATTCAGTGTGTGTTTGTTTATATTATGATGTCAAAATTTGCATTCTCATTTGTTTGCTAAATAATGGTCAAATTTTTATTGGGCCAGTTGGTTTTGAGCTATTGGACCAAGATATTGCCTATATATATATATTGTACCTAACAGGACTCCAGGTAAAAGCTAGGGACGACAAAGTAGTTATAGTTGATAGGCTTTATGGCTTTAATGTGATGGTGCTTGAATTCTCAACTTTTGTATTTAATAATTTTACGTTTTTCTCTAGTCTTGCCACTACCTACAACCATCTTGCAGGTCTCACAGGATTGGCAAACCTGTCGAAGGAGGAGTGACAAACTCTGTTTGTCCAGGAAAAATTGTATTCTTACTTTCGACATTGTTACTACTTGCAACCATCTTGTAGGGCTCACATGATTGGTGGGTGGACCCGTGAATGAGTTGTGAAAAGGTCTATTTGTTCAAGAAAAATTGTATTCTTACTCCCGATATTGCCACTACTTACAACTGTAACGACCCACTCCACCACATGGTATGATATTGTCCGCTTTAGGCCTGAGCCCGCACGGTTTTGCTCTTGGGTTTCACTCCAAAAGACCTCATACCAATTAAAGATGACACACTTACATATAAGCACTTCACCTTTCCTCTACCCAGGCGACGTAGGACTGTGCACCGTAGCTCACCAGTGTGGTAGCTTGACAGTATCTCTGGCACCCGCCCACAGCATACCCGCCCACAAGGTCATCACAATCCACCCCCCTTGGAGGCCCGACATCCCCGTCTGCACACTTCCGGCTGGGTCAGGCTCTGATACCATTTGTAACGACCCACTCCACCACATAATATGATATTGTCTGCTTTGGGCCTGAGCCCGCATGATTTTGCTCTTGAGCTTCACCCCAAAATGCCTCGTACCAATTGGAGATGACACACTTACATATAAGCACTTCACCTTTCCTCTACCCAGGCGACGTAAGACTGTGCACCCGTAGCTCACCAGTGTGGTAGCCTGACAGTGTCTCTCGCACCCGCCCACGGCACACCAGCCCACAAAATCATCACAACAACCATCTTGCAGGGTTCACATGAATGGTGGATCCGTCGAAGGAGTTGTGAGTAGTGGCAATGTCGAGAGTTGGTTATTCTATAATGGTTATGCAAGCTGTTGATACCTTTGAGTGATGCAGAGTCCAATGTCCATGCCAAAGGCATATTGGTGGCTTCCCAAGCTTGCCCTGAGCTAGGTTAACCCATAACTGTAAAGCCTGCGGTCGAAACCCATAACACAAAGCATTCCATATGACCCATAATTCCTAATAAACTGCAAATGATAATAAGGTGTTAATGGTCATCTAGCCTCAATAATTTGCCCCAAATGGATCACATTCTTTCACTATATGAATGCAAAAAACATATATTATACTCTACAAACAAAGTACAATTTTAATCCACAAGGTTTCAAGTTACCAACATTTATTGGACTTGAAATTCTCCCAAATGCAAGTTGAATTATTTATCTTCCCACATTACCTTTGGTTCCGATTCCAAATGCCTCATTCTTATCATTTTCTCTCAGTTAATTGCTATCTTGTTCAGATGGCTAAGAAATGCATTCATTTATTAATAACCAAGGATGTTTTCAACACATTGACCTAATTCTCAAATCAATATATTCACCACTCCAACCAATGGGGACAAGCTGTCACTCATACCAGAGCAGGGCTTAAACCAGAAGAAGGTTGCAAACCGGCAGCATATTTCCGTGCCCACAAATCATAATGTACAATTTCCTCCGGGGAAGGTGAGGCCACCATCTCCGACCGATGTTTATCACATGTTAGCTCCACAACCTTAAAAATATCAAGGTAGCCAATCCTGAAAACTCAAAAATGGTACACAAGATTAAAATCCATCACATGCACAGCCATACTCGCTACATGGTTTATAGAATTAACAACCAAGAAGGCAAAATCTATGTTTCAAATATCCAAATGAAGGCAGAACAGCATTGAATAACATCAGTATATATCAAATCATCATTTAAGTAAAAGCAAAAATGAAACCGGCTTCCTAGGGTGTAACAACCCTCTAGTTTCTGTCTAAAGTTTCAAAGACCACAGACTTGTACATTTGTACCATAAAAATGTCATCTTCTCATGTAGAATAATAAAAGTAAGATCTTGAAGTTAGAAAACAATGGAGTTGTTTTCTCCCCCGCCTTTTGTTAGCTTCGCTGAGTACTAATGGAGATTCAAGGGACAAGTACATTAGATTTGTCACCAGAATAGCACCATAACCAATTCTAGGACATACAATTTCATTGCAGTGTAAGTATTTAAAACAAACTCATTCAACCATACACAAATTTAAATTGGGAAGACTGCACAGGGACAGAATTGGATTTCAGGTGTCCATTCAGGATTAATTTGGAGGAGATAAGCTCACTGGTAACCACAACACATGCCAAAAAATACAGGAAAACTATAAAAGGTATACATAATCAGTTTAAATTATTTTGGTGTCAACAGGTTCCATGGGTGCATGATCAACAAGTATATATGATGAAAGGTTTAAAGAAATTATAAACAAAAATATCTTTGACTGAAATATGATACCTGTTTGTACATAATTTTACCTCCGGTGAACCAGATCAGTTGTTCTATCCTAACTTGTTTGTTAGCTTTGGCATCTTACCCAAGGAGACTTGGAATATAATGAAACTACAGGAAATTAATTGAGCCTGGTGTTTAGTTCAATTCTTGAGAACCCTTTTCAAAGAATTGAAAATTGGAAAACAGTTAGAAATTTCGTTTGGTTTGACAGTTTTCTAAAAATTGCCTCTGGTTTAGTTTTCCAATTTTTTTAGAGAACAGAACCAAACAGACCCTATACGTATAAATATCATCAAGTGCATTTATTTTGGTTTGACAGTTTTCTAAAATTGTCATCCTGGAAAAACAGTTATAAAGCCTAATTTCAGAAAAAAAAAAAAAAAAAAAAAAAAAAAAAAAAAAAAAAAAAAAACTCTCTCAGTTCAATAAGAACTGTTTTAGTTTTCAAATTTTTTGAAAATAGTTTTCAGAGGACAGAACCAAACAAACCCTACATATATAAGTATAATCAAGTGCAATTATTTTGGTTTGACAGTTCTCTAAAAATTGTCGTCCTGGAAAAAGACTATAAAGCCTAATTCCAGAAAACACTATTTCTCAGTTCTATAAGAACTGTTTCAGTTTTCATTTTTTATTTTTTTTAAATAGTTTTGAGAGAACAGAACCAAACAGACCCTATATGTACAAGTATCATCAAGTGCAATTATTTCTTAAATCATATCCAGATATCCTGCATGATGCTATACATGATCCAGTAATCATTCTGATTATACGTCAACATATTGGGCTTAATTTTCCTAATGGCAATTAACTTCCTCCGAATACACCATGTCCAACGCTTATAACCTTTACATATATTTACTTTCATTGACTTCCAACTCTTCAAACGCGAATGAATTTGCCCAAAGGTGTTGGTACATGTCTACAACTAATAGAAAAATCAAACTACTTTCAGTTCCTTTTAACATCCTAACAGGTTGCAGAACAAGAGAAACAGAATTTAACATAAGCAGTAAAAATCAGGAAGCAAACTACATACATTTCATCTATGAACATCTCCACAGCTTTTTCATTAGCTGCACTAAGAACTCCTGTCATGGTGCCTCCGGCCCGTCCAGCAGCATAGGCTAGATCCATGGATGGGTATTTCACATTGTCAGGAGTTTTAAACGTCAGGGACCCAAGCCTGTATCATCACATTTTAATTTTAATCATATCAACCACATTGAAAAATAGATAACAAATTCTCAACATTTTCACAAATTACACTTTGCATCTGGTATTAACTAGTAAAAGAAGTCGCAAAATAGAATGTCATAATGCTGCATATTAACAGATTATGGATTTCATTGACAAATATAGAGATGCACACCTTAGGAAATGGTTATCATTTAATATTCTACGACGAAAGCATTCATCTAGAGGTCGATTGAAGAATGTTTTTCGAGTATAGAACATTACTGGTATCTACCCTGAACTGAACCTAGAACTGGATGAGGACAGAGACACACGAGCACTTGCAACTGCTTGCATTAAAAGTCAAATGAGCCCAACTAAGACAAGAATGCTGAAGATTTGTTATATTATTTTAAGACACAACGAGAATATATTGAATCATCTGCAAGACAGTAACTAATTCCTTTTGACAAGAAACAGGCAATACTCAATAGGCAACCTGTCTATTTTTTAAATTTGTAAAAAAATAATAATAACATAAATCTTAAGCAAATGAAAGCTACATCCCTCACTGTTCTTTTGTGGAAAGGTAAATGCTTAGTCATAGGTATTAAGAAAATCACATATTGACAGTCTAAGATTAAACTTTGGTCCCTTTCAAAGTGGAATCACTCATGAATCGTGGAATTTAGACTTTTCCTTCATAGAATTGCAAGGGAAATAGAAGAGTTTTAAGAAAAAAGAAAACCATCATCTAAAAAAGATATTTGGTACTTACTTGCAAAGGTCAAGGCGGGGCCAAGTAATCTCAGAGCAGTAAATTCTCTCTGGCCAAGATAATGTGTAAAGGATCGGTAAACGCATATCAGGCCACCCCAACTGTGCGAGGACAGAGGAATCCTGGATACGGGAAAAATAAAGACAGATGAAAAAAGATTCGGATGCGAAATTCAGGGTACCCCACAATATAAAGAAAACAAGTTTCTTGATAGAAGTATATGAACTCTTAAACAATAATTTCGACAGACAGAGGAGTTCAAGTTCAAGTTCAACCTGTGTTTCAACCATTGAATGAATGATAGATTGAGGGTGAATAACAATCTCAATATTGTCATATTCAGCCCCAAAAAGATAGTGCGCTTCAATAACTTCTAGACCCTGTCAAGATGAAAAGATCTATTATATCTTGACATATAGAAAAATAATCTGCTCCTTATAAATCAGACCACAGCTTCAGCCGTTCGGTCAACAATGCATGGTTCACCAGAAAAACAAAAAGAAAAGAAAGAAAAAAGAAAAAAGAGAGAAAGCATGGTACTTGGAAATGAAAATAGAGACAACAGAAAGAAATAACCTTATTGAAAAGAGTAGCAGAGTCCACAGTGATCTTTTTCCCCATATTCCAGTTAGGATGCTTCAAAGCATCAACTACTTTAGCTTCTTTCAATTTATCAACAGGCCAGTCTCTGTCAGAAACAACAGAATAAATGGTTAAATATTGGTTTGAGTAATGGACCTATGATTAATGTAAAGATTGCAGAAAAGATAAACTGTTCCAAATTAGCCATGGCAAGGAGTATGCGGAAATAAAGAGGATCAAAAGAAAAAAGAAAGAAGAGAGCATATCAAATGTTACGAGACTCGAGAATTGGCTAAGGAAGATAGTGTTATACATTAAAATAATGCATATAATCAAACTCTAAGAAGCAAAATTATAAGAGAGACATGCAAACCATAGTTGATAAAGTTTATGGTATTACTATATTACTATGAAGTTCTGTTTTTGGATGGGAAGGAGGGAATTGTAAAGGAAGATGAATGAAGGAGGAGAAAGCAACCAGGATTTCTTGCTCACTAGATAATATTACATGTACGGAATATCTTACAAATTTCTAAAAGGAAACTGAGCACCAAAACAAATATAGCCAAATATTTTCTTTTTAATTACAGAAAACAGGACAAATACCCCAGATAAATTTTAATACACAATTGAAAAAATCCTATCTTAATTTAAGATTCACACCTGAAAGCCCCACCAGACGCAGTTAATATAATACGCCTAAGAGCACCCTCTGGCAAGCCTTGAATGCACTGAAGCAGGGGACATCTTTTTTAGCCCTTAAAATTAGCAGGAATAGAATAGGAGAAATAATTGCAGAACAGTCAGCCAGAAATAAGATTTTACATTGTAACATATATTGACTTAATAGTGACAGCCCCAAAAGACTCGACAGATGTAATGGAAGTCTCTTCATTCTAGGATGTATTTAGCTATCAATATAGATGTGTATTCATACCTGGAATATAGCAGAATGTTCTGAATCAGCAGGAAGAATCTTTACTTTATGCTTGTGTGCAAGAGGAAGGACAAAAGGGCCCCCTGCAATTAGGGTCTCTTTATTGGCTAAGGCGATGTCTTTCCCTGCTTCTATTGCAGCCACTGTAGGCTAGTAAAGTAGAATAGGGGGGAATTTTACTTTAAATCCTTGAGAAGGACATTAGTTATAGAATAATTAGAAAACTGTTCAAGAAGTATGCATAAGAACACATGTACAAAAGTAAGCTTATAGCGAACAAAGCAGCAATCAAAATTCATTCCGTAAACACTTAAGAACTGAAGGGAAGTAAAATAGGTAGATGGTAGCATAACTTAAATTATGACTTATTACGTGCACATAAGGAGCTGCATGCCTGCATCCTTGTGGAATTTCCTTTTTTTGTTTTATTATTATTATTATTATTATTATTTTCTCTTGGCGGTGATGGTACTAGGCAAGACAAAGTTATATTACCATTTCTAGTTTATCAGTCAGCGGTGGCAGACAATTATTCTTCTCCTTTATGTTTTGCTTCTTTTATTCTTCTTGATTTAATTGACCGAGGTAAAATACTTGGCTTGAGTAATTTTGTTGAGGGCACTACATATTTCCTGGTTTACCTAAAGAAATTATCCTCAAAAGCAATCCATGAGATCACAGTAGTGTAAATTACCATCCCTTTCAATAAATATGTTGATCAAATTGAAATCAGATAGAAGATGTTTTCCAACCAATATCCCTTTTCAGCTTAGAATGAACATAAATCATTCTTATATATATATATTAATCTTGGCACACACCAATCAAGATAAGTCCATCTTACAAACTAAATTCAAGGTAAACTTTCTTTGAAGTTAGAATATGAATTTGGAACTCACTATCCACGACTATTTGTTAGTTATACATTCTTCATGCAGCATGAAAAGAAATGTATAAACATGCTAGTTAATGACATGATCACTCATTAGCCCAGATACGTCAAGCATTCATATACATGCAATTTTAGACGAATGGTAAAAACTCTCAGGTATGACAGCAATCACTTTGTGCAAAATGATCTCAAAAGTTAGCTGTCGTCATTTTTTTTTGCTCGTAACACCCCAAATAGGCAAATCAGCATTAAATAATGTCCTTCATTATATTACTCCAATATGAGTGCATAAAAAAACACACAATATGTGAGTGCATACATATGTGTATGTGCAGAAAAAAGGTGCCATTCCTTACATGCTAATCCTAAAGGTTTTGCTAAAATGGTCTAAAAGTGGTATAATAATGAAAACCACACAAACAAAATGAGTATGAATTTACCTTCAATCCTGCACAACCTACGATTCCCGTGACGACAGTGACAGCATCAGGGTGTTGGGCAACCTGAAATTGAAATATGAGGAATGTAAACCAAATGAAGAGAATAGACTCTTATCAGCAAAGTGTAATGTGAGTTAGCTAACCTCAATCACGCCTTGCTCTCCAGGAATAATTTCAGGCTTGTGTTCAACGTCAGCCAAAGCATCTTTGAGTTCATCTACTAATGACTCATTTCTAACAGCAACTAATTGAGGTTTGAATGTCTTGACCTGATGATGAAAAATGTTTGTTATCAACAAGACTACAAAGTGAATATAATGGTAATAAGAGAGAGGTTGATTTAGCACAATGAAACACGGATGCTTCTATAAGAGAAATATATTTGCATCATGTCCGTATCGAATACCAATACTCCTTAGATACTAGTGGGACTGTGTCTGATACTTCCTAATTGTATAATAATTCAAAGGGTTAAGTTCACAAAACACCCTTCTAATATCAATATAGTGCATATCCCCCTGATTTTCCCCAAACCCCACTCAAGTTTACGAAGTGTTCAAATAAGGACCTCCTAACATGTTAACCTCATGCAAATACTTAAATACAGCTGAATGTAAAAGGCTCTTGTAAGCCACAAATTCTCATTAGCCATACTCCTAATTTATATTACATACTGAATATTACATAAGTGGAAAGTAAAATCAAATCACTGATCCTATGCCTCTAATAGGCAAATGATGAAAATAATATCAGATAAAATCAAATTAAGATCAGATCAAATCCAATCCCTAAAGATACTCCCAATACATATCAAATTCCTATATTTTCTCCCAATACTCCCCCCTCAAGTTGGAGCGAAGATATCAACTAAGCCCAGCTTGCCAATACCAGAGTGAAGAGCACTGACTTTGTGAACATATCGGCAAGCTGATTAGTAGAAGAAACAAAGGAAGTATGGATATCTCCACAACACACTTTCTTTGACTCAATTCTTCATGAGAGGACAAAGCATATTGAGGTTGATATTTAATTTCTTGATATCAACCTCAATATGCTTTGTCCTCTCATGAAGAATTGAGTCAAATGCGAGTATAATAGCAGACTGGTTATCCCAAAAAAGTGTCGATGAACTAAATATAGGGAATTCTAGCTCAATCAATAGGGAACAAAGCTAGAGGATCTCACAAGTTCCCTGAACCATGGCACAGTACTCTGCCTCTACAGAAGAACGAGTCGCTTTGCTTCTTACTTTTCCAAGAAATTAAATTGCTTCCATGAGAAGGATAGAAACCTGAAGTAGAGCGACGGTCAGTCAGAGATCCAGCATAATCAGCATCAGTGTAGCATAAGATATGAGGTTGTGGTGTGGATCTGTAGAAAAGACCAAGTCCTGCCCAGGACTTGAGGTACCAAAGAATTCGGTATACTGCAATTAAGTGTGAGGTCTGTGGAGCATACATGAACTAACTCACAACACTATCCGCAAATGTGAGATTAGGTCTAGTGTTCGTTAAATAAATTAAGCGGCTAACAAGGCGCTGATAAGCAGACAAATCTGGAAGGTCTCCAGAATCGGCATGAAGACGCGTCGAATCCATAGGAGAGGAAGCAAGACGACACCCAAGCATACCAATGTCATGTAGGTCTAGTGCATAATTACGCTGAGAGAACGAAATGCCATGCCTAGAGCGTGCAACCTCAATACCAAGAAAAAATTGAAGAGGACCCAAGTCTTTAACCTCAAAAGCCTGCCCAAGGTCTATCTTTACCTTGTCAATGAAAGGTGCATCATTTCTTGTAATGATTATATCATCAACATATGCTAAGATAATGGCACAACGATTTTGTGGACTACCACAGAAGGAGCATATGTGATATGACTTACATCGAGTGAACCCCATAAAAATAACTACATCACTGAATTGGTGAAACCATGCCCAAGGTGTCTACTTCACTCCATATAAGGATTTTAAAAGGCAATACACCCAGAATACTCCCCCTGAAGCCAAAAACCAGGAGGGTTCATATAAATTTCTTCTGTCAAATCCCTGTGAAGAAAGCCAAGAGTAGCAAGCCACTAAGGAAATAAGAAGGCGAATAGTAGTCAGCTTGGCAACCAGCGTAAAAGTTGCATTAAAGTCCTTCCCCAGAGTTTGTGTAAAGCCCTTCGCGACCAGCCTAGCTTTGTAGCGATCAACAGTACCATCTGGTTTATATTTAACTGTAACTACCAATTTACAGCCCACAGTCCGCTCCTTGTGGTAAAGTAACAAGCTCCCACATCTGATTTTTCTGCAAGGCGTCCATCTCAGCAGCCATGGCTGCTGTCCAATGTGGATTTTGCAAAGCCTAAGATACAATTTAAGGGATGGAAATAACCGAGGTGGCAGCAAGGTAGGCCTGATAATTATGTGAAAGTCCCTGATAAGAAACAAACTGGGCAATAGGATGATTAGTCACACAAGTCCTTTTACCTTTGCAAAGTGCAGTAGACAAATTAGAATCAGAAGTAGATGAAGCAGGATCTACAGCAGAAGTAGGCAAGGTAGAATTTGGAGTAGAATTGAGAATAGCAGGGTTAGGATTACCTGTACCAGAAGAGGACAGTGGTAGGGTAGCAGGAGGGGATGTCGTGGGCAACGAGTGTATACGCGAAGTTCGGGTTGAGACACAGGAGGAGATGTTGAGCATAGAACTGGTGCAGGCCGAGCCAGAGGTGAGAAAGTTGGAGTAGAAGATGTGCCAAAGAAGGGAACATCTTTGAAAAAAGCGACATCAAGAGAATGAATATCCGACGAGTGCTAAGGTCATAACAATGGTACCCTTTCGACATAGTCAAATAACCCAGAAAAATGCAACGAATAGCTTTATCATCCAGCTTCATACATGTAAGGCGTCAGTCCTGAACAAAACACGTACATCCAAAAACACAAGGAGTAATAAGGAAAAAGGTGTTGTCTGGTCGCAAAATATGTAACAGAACCTTACCCCTTAAAGTTCGACTAGGGGTTCAATTAATCAAAAAGTTTCAGTGAGAACAAACATATTCCAATAAGATCGAGGAACCTGTATACAACGAAAAAGACACCAAACAACACTCATGAGATGACGGTTTTTCCATTCCACCACTCCATTCTGTTCCCGTGTACAAGGGCATGTCAATTGATGAAGAATCCCCAACTGAATAAGATGAGTCATGTTCTTTCTTTCAATAACACTATTTTGTTGAGGTGTGGCCATAGCTGAGAACTCTTCCTTTATCCCTCTTATATCACAAAAGCTTTCAAACTCTCTCATTGCGAATTCAGTACCAAAATCTGATGTACACTTCTTGGTTGTACAACCCTTCTCATGTTCAACAAGATTAACAAACTTGATGAAGTGTGTGATAGCTTCAAACTTCTCTTTCAGAAAATAAACCCAAGTCATTCTACTGAAATCATCAATTAGGAGCATGAAATACTTACTTCCACCAATGCTTGTGGTTTTAGTAGGGCCATAGAGATCCATGTGAATCAAATCAAGTGCCTTTGAGGTGTTTACTTCCTTGGAGGTAAAAGAAATCCTTGTTTGCTTCCCTTATTGACATGTTTTGCATGTGTGATCCTCCTTGAACTTTAAATCAGGCAAGCCCTTGACAGCTTTGAACTTCGGAATCTTAGAAATGTTCCTGGAATGAACATGTCCAAGCCTTTTGTGCCACATAATACTTTCATCCACAGTTGAGAAGTTACATGAAACATCATTTCTTAAAGACCTAGTAGCTGAGAAGAGTAGTTTTTCAATGCTTTGATCAATGACTTTGCACTTAACTTTGTCAAAACATATTTTGCTGCCTGAATCACATAGTTGATTGAAACTCAGAAGGTTATGTTTAAGTCCTTGAACATACAAAACTTCTGTAAGCTCAGGGAGTTCTTCAAACTTTGAAATAGTGTCAATGCCAACAATTTTTGCCGATTGATCGTCTCCAAACACCACATTTCCTCCATCAAATTTCTTCAATGTGAAAAGAACTTGGTGTTATCACCTGTCATGCGTCTTGAGCAGCCATTGTCAACATACCATTTGTCGTTTGAGTTACAGGTCATAAGAGTTGTGTACACCAACATGCTTACAGCATTCAACTTCTTTGGAATCCACATCATTTTCGACTTGATGAGAGAACCTTTGTCTTTAAACTTCAATGACTGACAGATTTCTTCACATAAGCAAGATTGAATCTAGCATTCTTCAAGGCTGAAGTGATGAAGCCTCCTCTATCTATCCTCAATGTAGTATAGGTCTTGTCTAAGAGCTCATATCTGGACCTGGTTTGTTTCATTATAAGGAATGTGGCATATACTTCACCTGTCATAGACTTGACAATGACTGTGCAAGTTTGATTGACCTTCCCTGCTTTGTTTGAGTTGTAACCAATGCTTGTTCATCCTACTTGTTTAGTAGAATTCTTCCAAATTTCTGACATTTTCAGTGATCTCTCTTCAAAAGCTAGGGCGAGTTCTTTGCATCTTCTTATACTCCACTCACCATCCTTGTTTCTGAGCCTTGAAACACAGTATACAGTTAAGGATATAGAACACAGAGTTAAGAGTTTGACCTTTACATGCTTAATAAGTAAATCCCTGGACATTTATATTTCTATGTTGAGCTTCTTGATTTGAAACTTCTGAGAATCATATTTGACAGCAATTCTTTCACATTCAGCAAGAACCTGTTCAATATCATCATCATCACCCTATTCTTCTTCATTGTGAACTTCAGAAACTTCATGTAAGGCCATGAATAGACACTCATCTTCTGGAGCATCTTCTTTGTCTTCTTCAGAGGTTGAATCCCAATTTGTAATCAAAGCCTTCTTACCAAATATGTTTCTGTTTGGGGCTTCTGGTTTTCTTTGATTCTGACTTTTGTTTGACAAAAAAATTGCTATGAAGTGTCCAGGCTTTCCACAACCATAACAGGTTTGATTCTGAGCTTGACCTTTTTTCTTGAACCTGAATTTTCTGAACTTCTTTGCAAGATAGGCCACTTCATCATCTTCTAAGTCATCATCATCAAAATTTTGTTCACTTTCTTCAACTTCTTTGGCCTTGAGGGCTGCTTCTCTTCTGTGATGAGCAAGAACCCCAACTCTCATCTCATAAGCAGTGAGTGAAGCTTGTAGATCATCAATCCTCATCTGTGACAAGTCCTTGTCTTCAAGAATGGTGACATTTGCATTGAACCTAGGAGTTAAAGACCTAAGAATCTTCGTACACACATCATA